CATCTGGCTACAAGGACATAGCTACCCACCAATTGCATCTCTTCGTCACGGTGTAGAGCCTCGCCCACTCCATCCCCTCCGTGGCAATGTACCACACCTCCCTCATCCACAGTGCCAGACAGAAGTGCCGATACTGCCAACGTACCCCACTTACTTGTCCTAAATAACGCCATCGGTACGCCAACTTAAACAACACACTTCCTCCCACTCACTCATGCACTCGCCGCCAATTCCACCTCTGTCTACAAATGCCACCAAGTGACTGGCGTTGACCCCATGACAGTCATTCACTCGGCTACCCTGTCCACGACGTTTTACTCCACTGACAGCTTCGGCAGCCACATCAATAAATGACACCCACCAAGCGCACAGCCATTTCAATTGAGCCTTGACCGTGACAACCACTACCCCTCCCCCCTCCACCGCCCGCACAGACACTTGTTCAGTAAGAAGGAAAGTGTACTGGACTAAATGAAATTCCCTTTCTGATTTTAGCTAACAACTTAGGAATGGATGAGGAATTGTGGCAAACTGCTTTCTGCCTCCATCACAGCAACTAACTCTCACCACTTCGAGACGAGGCACACAATGACTGTGGAGAGCACCTCTTGGAGATGAACAACAATGTTTGGCCTCCAGAGGTGAACTTTCTGCATCCATGCATCTCCGATTGCATCACGCTTCTGCTCCTCAACCATCTCTCCTCTTCCATTCCACCCTCTGCCGCATTTAATTGGGGGCTCTTAAGAAGTACGACTTGGACAACATGGTGGATGAGGATGAGGCAGACATGCCGAAATGGATCGTGGAAGGATGATCGAATCGGAACGTGGTGGAGGAGGCACGTGGAGTGAGTCAACTGTGGAATGGATGAGCTGATGTGGAGGTGGAACAATGCCCCAAACCCGAATAGAAGACATCTGTTTAGGGTGGTTAGTCACTTCTCTGGGGACATGCTCCAACAGGGATAATAATTAGCGGACTGACCTTGAGGGAAGGTCAACTGGTATGTTTGTCCTGAAGAAAGGCGTTATGAGCATAGACTGTCAACATGACAAGAGAAAATGCTTGCTGAATGGATTCCTCCTCCAATTG